CCACTGCAACGCCTTTTCACAGTTAATTTGCCATAAAATATGCCATGAACAACAGCCTCTGGGACTCAGTGCGAAATTAAATTAGTCAGCTGAAAGTTGGCCAGGATTCTGCGGGGCAACAAATGAAACCCTTTCGCTCGACATAAACTGTTGCCAAAAAGTTTTAAGCTGCATTTGAGGCTTGTTTTCACACCCGAACAAGTTTGGCGAGGAAAGTTTCGAGTGGCGCTTGTCTTGTTTCATCTTCTCATCTTCTCATCGCCATAATCCGTGACGTCAACTGCGGTTAGCAGGATTCCCCATGTAAATGAGACAGGCAAGCCGCAAAGTTTGGCATATTTTGCATCTGATATTTTGGCCACTTTTGGTGCACACTATTAGCAAACTTGTTGCTGTGGCCAACTTGTTGCATGTGTATGGTAGAGTTGGTGAAAGAAGTGCTTGTGTGTGTGAAATTTCCGAGTTCGTTATTCGGTTTCTGTTGTTTTGGGTCAACCAAAACCTACAGGATATTATTTCGGCACTTGGATGTGTTTTGATAATTGAAAACCCATTGGGGTCGCTTAGAGTCATTTACACCTAATTAGTTTAAGGACCAGGGCATTTAACTTTGTTTCGGAATTTGTTTTTAATTGCCAACTTGGACAAACAATCGTTTGCCAAGGAGTGGCAAATTTGTATGGCCAACAATACGAATTCAACTGGCTTAGATGAAATTCCGGTGTCACTAATTAAAGGAATTAAATTTAGGAGAAAAGTTCTTGATTTCAATTTAAATCACTTGCTGTCTTTTTCGGTTAGGAGGAAGAACAAATTCGAGTCTAGTGCATGATTATTGATGAATATCAATTCAAATAAATGCCTTTGTGCACTCAACTTCAGTTATAAATCGACTGGCTAGCAGCTTCGCTCTGAAGTAATATTTATATTGTATACAAAAGGTGATATAACTTTAAGCTACCGGAACGAGGAAAATTTAAAAAGCGACTTTAATTTGTTGTGGATTGATGGCTTACCAAATCAGTATCGGCATCTATGTGAAACCGCGAGAGTCGCCTGAAAATGACACGGCCACCTGAACCGCTAATTTTGGTTATGGCTTTACTGAACCTTCTGTTTTTTACCATACAGGCAACTCATTACCATCAAAGCTTTGTTCACCGGGATAAGCCAAGAACTTCCGTATTGGAAGGACATCGCAGGAGCAGTAATACCATATTGGAAAATAAGCTACTTGCTCCAGCCTTGGGCAAACTGGTGCTTTTCTACAGTAATTCTTGCCATGACTGTCTATCCTTTGCATCCACTCTTCACAAATTGTCTCACCAACTGAACAATTGGCGACAAGTTCTGGCAATCTACAAAGTTGACTGCGAAGAAAGTATTAAAGTCTGCCATGACTTTCAGATCCAACATTTGCCCACCCTGCGCTTCTTTCACTCAAACTTTGAAAGGGATCGTGATGGAATTGGAATTGGTATCGAGATCAGAAGTCGAAATATCAGAGGTATTACCAATAAAATAGCAACTCTGCTGGCCAGTAACTCTTACAAGGGAGTCTTGCACCATAAACCGGTCTTTAAAACACTTCAGTCTCAGGAAACCCTAAAGTCGCTGTTTCATAAGGATAATGTGAGCAGATATTTGGTGCTAGTCTTTCAGCCCAGACACTCCCAGATAGGAGTGAATACTCTTCTAGATATGTTGCCCCATCACGAAGTTACTGTTCGGATTGTTGAGAATCCGCAGCTCTTTGCCAATTTCGGCTTGGAACCCTTTGCCCAGAAATTAGTCCTTTTCGATCGGAAGGGCGTAAGCCATCCTTTGATTCCGGCACAAGATTCAAGTAAGGCCTATGTGGATAGTTTGAAGAAACTGCTAAGAACTCTGGCTCAGAATTCCCGAACCGTTTCGAGGGACTCAAGCTGGAAGAACCGGAAATCACAGATCCAAGGACGTAGTCAGGATTTGAATGATGAAGGAAATGAAAATAATTTACATGATCTTTCCTTGAACCAGAATAACCGGAGGATCATTAATCACATATTGAATGGACCCTTGAAAATCTATCAAGCAGACATCGAGATGGCAATTGGTATTCTGCTGCACACTGAGATTCCCAAGATAAAAGTTATAAAAGGGAAAGCACTCAATGCTTTAAAAATGTTCCTCGATGTGTTGATCCATTTAAGTCCTGTAAGCCAGGTGAAAACACAGCTGCTTCGGGATTTGTTAAGCTGGCTGAAGAATAACGATAAATTGACGGGACTCGACTTTATCGACCTTGTTAATTGCTATGAGAAGAAACACGGAAGGACGTTCTATACCGGTGACTTTGTGGGTTGCCGAGGATCCCAGGCATACACGCGGGGATTCCCCTGTTCCCTGTGGCATCTCTTCCATTTCCTGACCGTTGAGGTGACCAACAGTGGACACATACTTTTACCTGGTCAAGTTATCCAGACTATCAGTGATTTTTTAAGGTATTTCTTTTCCACCTGTGTTTCGTGTATTAAACATTTTGAGGACATGACCAAGCATCAAAATATCGCTAAGATTAATCACTATGACAAGGAGGTATTGTGGCTGTGGAAGGCCCATAATGAAATCAACAAACAACTTGCCAACGGAAGACTTGAGGACCCAAGATTTCCAAAGATACAGTTTCCCAGTTCGGAAAACTGTCCGGAGTGCCAAACAGATGTCAATAATTGGGATACAAATTCAGTGCTTCGTTATTTGAAAAATATATATTCGAAAAAGAAATTGAGTCTTTTTGGACTGAATGAATCTGAGGAGTCTATTCACACAATGACGAGATCGCATACCAGAAAAAATGTATGTACTACAGGTAGTTTGGATGAAAAGTTTTCCAGAAAAATTCCTTTTCGGCAAAGGTTTTACAATATATCTAAACATGGATAGAACTTTGAGGAGCTTGTACAATGTAATAAAGTATTTCGTTTTAAACTGGTTTTTATAATTTTTATATGTTCTTGAAATGACAATTGTTATGTTGTTTATTTACCTATTATATTTATTTTATTTTGAATTTTTAAGAAAGAGCAGATGGTAATTAACTCATTTGTGGCCCTCTAAATTTTCTATATTTGGAGAGCAAATGAGATATCATCATAATAAATGAAGCGTAGCTAATGTTGACAATTATTTCCACGACAACCCTTCTAAAACACATTGGTATATACTTTTAGTAGCATCGTAAAAAGCTTTCTAAACCATGTCTCCAATTCCTTTCAAGTTGTCAGTGATGTGGGTATCTTTAATTTTAAGCTTTTTACCCTTTGCCTCGACAGCAACTCAACCACATTTTATTTACGGAAAGAATGTGCCTGAAATTGTGAACCAAAAAAGTCTGGATAAAATCTTGAGTACATCGACCCATGCAAATCTAGTGCTATTCTCTAACAACTTTTGCAATCAGTGCGTATTATTTGAAGAAACCATGGAAGAACTAATTCCCATAGTTAGTCCGTGGCGGAAAGTTCTCGCAGTGTACTTCTTTGACTGCACTAAAGAGGACAATTTAGAAGTCTGTCGCGAATACAAAATTCGGCATAAGCCCAGTCTGCGATTCTTTCACGTAGATCTCGTTGATTTAGGTTATCGTCATGGATTCGATATAACCACTCAGGGAATAACTTACATTCAGGAAGAACTTGTTCCTGTTTTGGGCTACCCAAAGCACCATAATTTGAACTTTAATGTTGTTCAGCCCAACGAAACTTTGAAAACCCTCTGGTTAGAAGACATGGCTATTAAATATCTGGTGCTCGTTTACCAGCCAAGTGAATCGGTTTTAGGAATGGAGACTGCCCTCGATATGCTGCCCTACAGAGGAGTAAGTGTACGTATTGTTGACGATTATGCAGTTCTCAAAGAAATAGCTAATGGCGAGAGGCTGACCATCTTCAAACGGAATGGAAATGAACATTCATGGGAAACTATATCGCATACGGTGAAAGCATATGTGCATGTCCTCCAACAGTTCCTCAAAGCTGAAGGTTATCCGATTCCTTCACCACCACACCCCATAAAATCTGCGGAAGGTGCGGATTCTTTTCATTTGGAGCAGGATGAAATCAGAAAGCATGTGCTGAAAGGACCAGTGAGGATATATCGTGCTGATTTAGAGCGAGCTATATACAAATTGCTGCACATTGAGATTCCCAAGGCCCAAAATATAGAGGGCCAAAGCTTGAATGCTCTAAAGAATTTTATGAGGGTCCTGGCCAAAATTAATCCACTGAATCGTAAGGGAAAGATCATGCTCAGGGGGATAAACAAGTGGCTGAAGATAAAGAGCAACTTCACAGGCGACCAGTTCCTTCTTCGCGTTTATTCCCTGGAACAGGCACCAAGTCAAATCTTCGGGGGAAGGCACTATGTGGGTTGTGTATCCTCAAAACCATTCTTAAGGGAGTACTCCTGCTCCCTGTGGATCTTATTCCACTTTCTGACTGTGGCGGCGGCAGAGCAATGGCAGCTATTCAAGCCAGGATTTGTTCTAAACTCTATTAAAGGGTTCGTCCAGCACTTTTTCTTCGAGTGTCCTTCATGTTCCGACGACTTCACGGACATAGCGAATCATTCAAATACGAAATCTGTGAATTCCCACGATGAGGAGATTCTATGGCTCTGGGAAACACATAATGAATTTAATAAACGATTGGAAGATGACGACACTCAAGACCCCGGCTTCCTAAAAATTCAGTTTCCCAGTAAAGCAGCCTGTCAGCATTGCAAAAATGGTGATGATTGGATGCGTCCGAAAGTTCTAAATTATTTGAAAAACCTCTACGACATTGACAGCCTAAGTTTCTATGGACTGCCTTCTACCTCATCATACGATTAGTAATTATTTAAATCAGCTATGGTTTAATAGAGCTATTTTCTAGAAATCAATAAAGAGCGAAGCTAATGAAACAAAAAATATATGCGTTCTTATTTTTATTTAGTATGTCATTAGTCTCAGGAGAAAATGCTTCGATTCTTTGAGTTATCATTTTACAAAAGCCTCCTTCTTATCGTCATTATACAGGTAGGACTTTCAGTTCGTTTTAAGAGAAGTGGCGAAACTTTATACTCACCACATGTGGACAATGTGCATATGGTAAACGGGTCGACTTTTCATAGCACTCTTAATGCACCAGCCCTTGGAAAGTTGGTCCAGTATATGAACATTTTCTGCGGTCACTGCCGAAGATTCGTACCCATCTACAAGAAAATGGCTGTGGGTCTCCAGAAGTGGAATCGTGTTCTTCGGATTTATGCAGTGGACTGTGCCCAGGAGGAGAACGTGAATATATGTCGGGATTTTGAAATTACTTGGACCCCCTCACTGCGCTTTTATCCTTCGAACTTTCGGCAGTCACGTGATGGACTGGGAACAGACATTCCCACAGTGGAACCTAAGGAAATAGTGGAACATCTTATAAGGCTTCTGGCCAAAAATGACTACACTGGAACCAAGGAACGGAATCCTATTTTTGAACCACTTCAGAGACACGAGAATGCAAAGAACATCTTCGATCGATTTGACAACGAATTGCAGCATATTTTGCTTGTTTTTCAGCCGACATACTCCCAGATTGGAATAGAAACGCTTCTCGACCTTCTTCCTTATCCCGATGTGGCTGTGCGGATCCTCACTGATGCCCATCTCTTCACTCATTTCGGTTTGAAGGCATTCGACCAAAATATAGCCCTCATAGATAGAAATGGAAAAATACATTCAATAATTCCAAGCGGACAAAGTAGCTCCGCTTACGTGGAAAGCGTTGCTAACTTTCTCGAGCAAAAGGGACACACAAGTTTTCCCAAATTGCCAACAACTGAAGCTCCCAAAGAGATATTGCCGATGGGAATGGATGCTGTTATTTTGGACCATGTTCTAAGCTCACCGCCGAAGGTCTATCAAGCTGATTTGGAGCAGGCAATCGATCAAATCCTGCACATCGAAATACCTAAGTCGAAATTTATAAATGGATACAAGTTTAAGGCTCTTCGCCATATTGTAAGGGTGTTCCGCCGCTTTAGTCCTCTGAACCGAGATGGAAGACGGCTGTTAAACAGTCTTGTAAAACATCTGAAAGCCATTAATGGAATGACAGGAGAGCAGTTCGCTAATAAACTAAGCGAACTTGAGAAAAGGGTGGGAAAGATCTTCAAGGGAAGGCGCTACGTGGGCTGCTTGGGCTCCAAACCCTTTATGCGGGGAATCCCCTGCTCCTTTTGGACCCTCTTTCATTATTTGACTGTGATGTCGGCCCAAAGGCCAACCGTTTATAAGCCAAGTGTCGTGTTGCTAGCACTTTATGGGTTTGCCAAGTACTTTTTCGGCTGCACGGAGTGTGCCCAGCACTTTCAAAAGATGGCAAAGCGACGGAAAATAGGATATGTACAGTCCCATGACGAGGAGATCCTTTGGCTGTGGGAGGGTCACAACGAAGTGAATAAAAGGCTGGCTGGCGATGCCACGGAGGATCCCAAGTTCCCGAAAGTGCAGTTTCCACTGCGGAAACACTGCCCTTCCTGCTACAACTCGAATGAATGGAACAGAGCTGAGGTACTGAAATACCTAAAAGGCCTTTACAATATCAAAAATGTAAGCTATTACGGATTGCCTCACCTTTAACTGTTCTTCAAGATGAAACCAGACCTAGTAAACTTCGACAAACCTCAAATGTGTATCAGAGCAACAAAAGCAAAATATAAACAAATAAAAATTAATTCTAGGCACGTTTTTGTATCTTTACTGCCTCTGTTTTGATGTTACCTTCAACTTTAAGTTGTTTATACTCTCGCAAGGGTCTTATAATTTTGGTCAGAAGTTTGTATCGCAGAGAAGGAGACATTTCCTACCCTATAAAGAATATGTATTCTTGATCAGCAAATTTTTAACATGTTGATATAGGCTTGAACTGTCTTTATAACTCTGTAGCTGCCGTATGAAATTTGTTAAATTTGCTGTTTTTGAAAACATTTTTTGGATGCCTTGAGTTGATCATATCCTATTGATGTCTTATGTGTATTAGCGCATTGCTCGCTGTCATCAATTTTCGGTATGATTGCACGGTATTACAACTTCGGCTTGCCAAAGTTAACTTCCGCTCTTGTTTTATCTATCTTTTGTATACAAATAAATAAAAATAACATTTTTTTTGGGTGTACCTGGAAAGAATATCGAGCCACAAAATTATGAAAACCAGTTTTGAGAGAATTGGAGATTTGGGATGGGGGATTATACAACCGAAGCAGGGCGAATCCAAATGCGGCTATAATTACCAAAGAGGCCCTGCGATTGAATCAGTTGAAGTGGCCCATTTGACTTGTGAGCACCGCACCGTGTGGAAATGATTCGGCTACTAAAGACGCTTCTGTATTGCCTGCTGTTCCTCTCCCCCGAAGTCCGGGCAGCCACTAATGCCAGAGTGCCGGCGACCGAGGCGAGTCTCTACAGCGAGGCAGACAATGTGATCATGCTGGACATCGCATCGCTGAGGCCAGCCCTGAACTTGAAGACCAACAAGCTGGTCCAGTTCCTCAACACCTTCTGCGGCGACTGTCAACGCTTCGCCCCGATCTACAAGGGAATTACCCGGGAATTGTACAAGTGGCGACGACTTCTCCGTTTCTACGCCGTAGATTGCGCCCAGGAGCGAAACGCAGAGCTCTGCAGGGAATACAATATCCTCGAGACGCCCACACTGCGCTTCTTCACCCCCGACCCCCAACCGTTTCAGCTGAACCTCGGCTATACCATTCCTACCCAAATGCCAAAACTCATACCTGCAATACTGACCGAATTATTGAGTCGATATGAGTACGAAGCCGATCTGGCGAACTTCCGTCCCTTAAACGCAAGTGACACGGCCAAGACTCTGTTCCTTGATCATCAAGGTGTGGAAAGTCCGGTTAAATTCATTGCTCTCGTTCTTCAGCGAAAATACACTTATATTGGCAGGGACACTCTGCTGGAATTGCTTCCTTTTAAAGAGGTGGCAGTAAGAATCGTTCCGGATGCCCAGATTTTTACCAACTTTGGACTTAAACCATCCAATCAGACATTGGCCATAATCGATCGAAGTGGAAGTGCCCAGTACTTGGCCCCTTCCCGGATTTCAGTCAAAGATTATGCGATCACTGTTGGAGAATTCCTGAAAAAGCTCAATTATAAGCCGGATCCACCACTTCCCATCTCTGTAGCCCCGAATGTAAATGAGTTCCTGGATCAGCGAAATCAAGCGGTCCTTGCAGAGGTCCTTAAACCACCACTGAAGGTCTACCGTGCCGATCTGGAGCAGGCGATCGACAAACTCCTGCATATCGAACTTCACAAAAGGTTTCTTTATCAGGTTAAAAATCTGGAGGCTCTGAAGAACATAATTAATGTTATGAGTTATTTGAATCCATTGAACAGAGACGGAAGGACACTCCTCACCAATCTGAACGAATCTGTGGGTACGAATTTTAAAAATGGATCTGATTTCAAGGAATTGATTGACTTAGAAGAAAAGTCTCTGAAGGCGTTTAAGGCAAAGCGCTACATTGGCTGTATTGGATCACGACCCTTCCTGCGGAGCTTCACCTGCTCCCTGTGGACACTGTTTCATCATTGGACTGTGGAGGCAGCAAAGGCACCGCAACCTTTTATGCCTGGCGAGGTGCTTTCCACCATTCATGGGTTCGTTGAGTACTTCTTTGGCTGCTCGGATTGTGCCCAACACTTCCTAGAGATGGCAAAACGTCGAAACATGAATGCCGTGAAAACCTATGACGAGCAGATCCTCTGGCTGTGGGAAGCCCACAACGAAGTCAATCAACGCCTTGCTGGCGATCCCATTACGGAGGATCCCAAGTTCCCGAAGATTCAGTTCCCCAGCGTGGAGAATTGCCCCACCTGTCGGAACGATAATTCCGAGTTTCAGAAGGAAGAAGTTCTGAAATATTTAAAAAGCATCTATGATATCAAGAATCTGAGCTTTTACGGTCTTCCCACCTCGCGGGGTTACGATTGAGTATACATTTCCATTTTCAATTTTCAGTTGTCTTAGAACGAACTGTTTTAAAACTATTCAAAAAGTATAAAATATGATATTAAATGGTGATTAATTGGATGTTTATTCATATCCAAAAATTCCGTATATTAGGTTGTTCTATTTTGAGTTGGTATTATCGAATTGTTTTTTTTCGTTTATTCTATACTTTAATTTCTGGCTTCTCTCCCGCAACTATTTAAAAATTTTCCCACTCTTTGACTGCTATAAAAGAAGAAAGTGAAAGCTATATGCTAATAAAATACACCTTTTCGGTTTGCCGCACCAATGGAATTGCAAATGGTTACATCTGTTGGGGGCATAATTGTTTTAAAATTGGAAACAGAATTTTCGGTATTCCATAGTCGTCGACTATATTTTTCCTTCTTGTTTTAGTAAGTGAAGCTAATGAGATACTCGTTTGCATTTTAACTGTCAGTGTAGGGAGCGAAGCTAATAAAAGATGATTAGCTAAGGCGATACTAATCGGATATTGGCAATACCGTATACTTGCATTAGTCATAAAATTAAAATGACGCGGCTTCTCGGGCTATTGTATTGTAACAGCATCCTCCTTATCGTGATTATACAGGGAGGATTTTCTGTTCGACTTAGGGGAGCTGCGGTCTTCAAGGAAACTCTATACTCACTTTCAGATAACGTGCATGTGGTCAAAGGTGCGGCTTTTCAGAAAGCCTTAAGTGCTCCGGCACTTGGAAAGTTAGTGCAATTTCTGAACATTTTTTGCGGACACTGTCGAAGATACGTACCCACCTTCAAGAAACTGGCCATTGATCTTCACAAGTGGGATCGAGTTCTCCGGATTTATGCCGTGGATTGTGCCCAGGAGGAAAATGTGAAAGTGTGTCGGGATTTTGACGTTAAGGGGACGCCCTCATTGCGCTACTTTCCCTCGAATTTTTTGAAGTTGCGCTATGGACTCGGAACAGTTTTCCCCAGTATGGAACCCAAGAAAATTGTCCAGATGCTTATTACGCATTTGGCCAAAAATGACTACACTGGAACCAAAGAACGGAAGCCTATCTTTGCACCTCTTCAGAACCACGAGAATTCGCAGAACATCTTCGATCCATTTGACAAAGAATTGCCGTATATTTTGCTTGTTCATCAGCCGAAACACTCCCAGATTGGAATAGAAACGCTTCTCGACCTCCTTCCGTATCCCGATGTGGCTGTGCGGATCCTCACTGATGCCCAGCTCTTCACTCAATTCGGTTTAAAGCCATTCGCCCAAAATATATCCCTCATAGATAGAAATGGAAAAATACATGATATAATGCCAAGCGGAGAAAGTAGTTCTGCTTATGTGGACAGTGTGACTCAATTCCTCGAGAAAAATGGATACACAAGTATTCCTAAATTTCCAACAGCTAAACCTCAAGTAAAGAAAGCGATGGGGCTGGAAGCTATTATCCTAAAGAAAGTGCTGTCATCACCACCGATTCTCTATCAGGCCGATTTGGAGCAGGCTCTCGACCAACTCCTGCACATTGAACTTCCCAAGGCGCCACTTATAAATGGCCCTAAGTTTAAGGCACTGCGGCGTCTTATAAAACTATTTAGTCGCTTTAATCCCTTAAACATAGACGGAAGACGACTGTTAGTCGGTCTTGAAAATTATCTCAGGACGGTTAAGGAAATCACAGGAGTCCAGTTGTCGGATACAATAAAGGATCTCGAAAAAGGGCTGGAAAAGATATTCAAGGGAAGGCGCTACGTGGGATGCATTGGCTCCAAACCAATTATGCGAGGTATCACCTGCTCGTTTTGGACACTTTTCCATCATTTGACTGTGATGTCGAGCCGGAATCCTAGGGAGTTTAAGCCAGGCTACGTGCTGTTATGCCTTCACGGGTTCGCACAGTACTTTTTCGGCTGCTCGGATTGCGCCCAACACTTCCAGATGATGGCCAAGCGGCGACAAATAGAGTCCGTGAGGACCCATGACGAGGAGATCCTTTGGCTGTGGGCAGCCCACAACGAAGTCAATAAAAGGTTGGCTGGCGACCCCACAGAGGACCCCAAGTTCCCCAAAGTTCAATTCCCGCTACGGGAACACTGCCCCAAATGCCGAAAATCAAATGGATGGAACACAGCTGAGGTACTCAAATATCTAAAACGTTTGTATAACATTAAAAAGGTGAGCTTTTACGGATTGCCCACCTATAATCGTTATTGAGGATTAAACTGAACTTAGAAAACTAGGACTTAATAACGCAATATATAAACAGAAAAGGAAGCCAACTTTGACAAGTCCAAGTTTATTATAATATGCTATAAAACAATTAAGTAATGTGACTGCTACATGATAACTTATGATAATACATCTTTTAAATAAATTGGTAATTTATTTTTAAAATCATAAAAAACCATAAAAATAAATCCAAATTGTTAAAAAGTCAACCATTTTAAATTTTGGGTTTTTTCAAATTTTTTTTGTCTGATATTTTCCATAAGGGTAAAGGATATAAAAATTAATTTCAGGCAAGTTTTTTTATTTTTTCTGCTCCTGTATCGATGTTACCTTCCACTTCGAGTTTTGTTATCTTTTGTATTTACATATATAAAAAAATGTAAAATAATTTTTGACTGCTTTTGGGTGTACCTGAATAAAATAGAGAGTCACAAAATTATGAGAACCAGTTATGAGGGCACGCCAGATTTGGGATGGGCGAATCAACAAACGAAGCAGGGCAAATCGAAATGCGGCTATAATTACCAAAGAGCACTTGCGATTGAATCAGTTGAAGTGTTGATCACCGCACCGAGTGGAAATGGATCGGATGCTCAAGACGCTTTTGTATTGCCCGCTGCTCTTCTGCCAACAATTGTATGGCCGGACTAATGCCATAATGCCGTCGACCGAGGCGAGTCTCTACAGCGGGGCAGACAATATAATCACACTGGACATTGGATCGCTGAGGCCGGTCTTAAACTTGAACACTAACAAGCTGGTCCTGTTCCACAACTCCTTCTATGGGGACTGTCAACGTTTCGCACCGATCTACAAGGGAATTGCAAGGGACTTGTACAAGTGGCGACGACTTCTTCAGTTCTACGCCGTAGATTGCGCCCAGGAGCGGAACACAGAGCTCTGTAGGGAATTTAATGTTCACGAGACGCCCTCACTGCGTTTCTTCAACCCCGACACAAAGAGAAAGCAGAAAATCCTTGGATCTGTCATCCCCACCCAGGATCCACTGTTCATAACTGCAGTATTGGCCGATTTATTGGGCCAATATGAGTACGAGGCCAACGTGGCAAACTTCCGTCCCTTAAAGAACAGTGACACGGCCAAGACCCTTTTCCTCGATCATCAAGGTTTGAAAAACCCGGTTAAATTCATTGCTCTCGTCCTCCAGCCAAAAGACACTTATATTGGCAGGGACACTCTGCTGGAATTGCTTCCTTTTAAAGAGGTGGCAGTGAGAATTGTTCCGGATGCCCAGATCTTTACCAACTTTGGACTTAAACCTTCTAATCAGACATTGGCCATAATCGATCGAAAGGGGAGTGCCCAGTACTTGGCGCCTTTCCGGATTAAAAGCAAAGATTATGCGATCACTGTTGGAGAATTCCTGAAAAAGCTCAATTATATGCCGGATCCACCAATACCCGTCTCTGTAGCCCCGAATGTAAATCAGTTCCTGGATCAGCGAAATCAAGCGGTCCTTGCAGAGGTCCTTAAACCTCCACTAAAGGTCTATCGTGCCGATCTGGAGCAGGCGATCGACAAACTCCTGCATGTCGAGCTTCACAAATGGTTTTACTATCAGGTTAGAAACCTGGAAGGTCTAAGGTTAATAATTAATGTTTTGAGGAATTTGAATCCATTGAACAAAGACGGAAAGACACTGCTAACAAATCTGTACAAATCCATGGACGTTTATCGGATAAAAGGATCTGATTTCAAGGATTCGATTGATATTAATGAAAAGCCTCTGAAGGTATTTCAGGCAAAGCGCTACATAGGCTGTATTGGATCACGACCCTTCCTGAGGGGCTTCACCTGCTCCCTGTGGACACTGTTTCACCATTGGACCGTGGAGGCAGCGAAGCCCCCGAACTATTTTTTGCCGGGCAAGATTCTCCTAGCCATTCATGGATTCGTTGAGTTCTTCCTTAGATGCACGGATTGTTCCGAACACTTCCTAGAGATGGCAAAACGTCGAAACATGAATGCAGTGAAAACCTATGACGAGCAGATCCTCTGGCTGTGGGAAGCCCACAACGAAGTCAATCAACGCCTTGCTGGCGATCCCATTACGGAGGATCCCAAGTTTCCGAAGATTCAGTTTCCCAGCGTGAAGAATTGCCCTACCTGTCGGAACAATAATTCCGAGTGGCAGGAGAAGGAAGTCCTAAAATATTTGAAACGCATCTATGATATCAAGAACTTGAGCTTTTATGGTCTTCCAACCTCGCAGGGTTACGTTTGAAGATGCATTTAAATGTTCAGAGGCAAATAATTATTAACAAAATTGTTTTAAAACAACTTCACTTTATTTGCATTATAAATATATTGTCAAACTTATTAAATATTATATACATTCCGTATTTGTTCGGTCAAGAAGTAATTCGAGTTATGATCGCATACAATTTGCACCATTTTGAAACGGTTACCTAACAAAATCGAAACTAATCTAATTAAGTATGCAAATAACCTGGGATTTTTTGCATGTGACTATTATTAATAAGGTCACGTCACTTGTGCTTTTCATGATCCTGTTCTTTGTGCTGCTATTATCCTTCGAAATCTCAGTTGTATCATCTTTCGAACTTTGATAAAACTTTTAAGAGCTTGGCCGTTAAGCTTCCTAAATAAACATGGTAATAAGCTTATCAGAGAAATTTTGATAACAATATCTTCGAGAAGAACAGTTGACAGAAGTTAAATAAAGAGATTTATACATGTGTTTAAAACAAGAGAAGTGATTTATCCTTTTACATATTCTTAAATCAATCATATCCAATCCAATCATACCCAAAGTTCATACATTACTTACGTGTTTCTGTGACATTAAGACTTCCTAAGACTCGAGCTGATTCGATTAGCAAAGAAAGCGGCACAAATCCATTTACGTGTATAAGTACCCTAGGATTATAACAGGGTCTCATCATTAGTGAACCCCAAGTCGGCCTTTATTCATCGTTACGGAATGAATCTATTCCTCAAGTCGTCAACTAGGACCAAGTCATTGGACCTATGGATTCTCCTGTGTTGTGTCCACCTTATGATCTCCGAAGTGGCATCTGCGGGCGTAAAGCAACCACTGCGGGTCCACCGGGCTGATGTGATCAAGGGCATCGAAAGGATTTTGCACCTCGAAATTCCAATGAAGGGATTAATCAACAATCAAAAACTAACAGCGATAGACAACTTCTTTAATGTCCTGAAGGCTCTAAGCCCACTGAACGAAAATGGGTCATCGCTAATTAGATCAGTTTGGCTCCCAATAATCCCTCGTCAACCGTTGACTGGGCAGGAATTCTTAAAAACACTGGAGTCCGAAGAAAAGGAATTTGGCAAAGTATTTCATGGCACTGATTACGTTGGTTGTGCGTCATCTATACCCAATCAGCGGGGCTACCCCTGCGCCCTGTGGACATTGTTCCACTATCTGACCGTGCAAAACGCAATGCCTCCTTACCCATTCCAGCCGGGTAAGGTTCTTTCGGTTATTCGGGATTTCGTAAAGTATTTTTATGACAGCCCAGCGGATTGGGTTACGAATTTTGAGAAAAGTGTTAAAAGTCGACCCATACAATTGGTGAAGACCCACGACGCAGAAATACTTTGGCTCTGGGAAACACACAACGAATTCAATAAAATTAGTGCTGGCAAACCCGGAGATCCCAAGTTCCCGAAGGTCCAGTTCCCCGGCGCTGACAGATGTCCCACCTGCCGGAAGAGTGATTCGACGTGGAAGACTGACGAAGTAATTAAATATTTAGAAAGCCTCTATGCTGGGGATAAATTAATCTAGAAGCTCCCCGCCTCCAAGGGATACAATCCCAAATCTTTGTAAAAATAAGCAAATTATAGCAACAAGCGGGGGATTAATGGTTGGTTTTCTAAGTTTCTGGACATTTGCTGGTGACATTTTGAAAAAGATGCAATCTCTTGCCATTGGATTCGGTTACCTAATCAAAGCGAAACAAAAACTGATCTACATATAATTGTCGTACTTACTTCAAATCAAAGGCAAAGACCCAAATGTATCGAAAACGTCTGTTCTGTCTGCTACTCATAGCCTCCTTAAGTATAATTAATGGAGCTCTCTATAATCGACGGGATAATGTAGTGCCTGTGAACCATGATTTAGAAAAAGTAATTCAAGAGTCCGATGCGGGCAAGCTAGTCCAGTTCATGAACAGCTTCTGTAAGGACAGTCAAGATTTCATACCCGGATTCACGAAGTTGGCCAGGGACTTGTACAAGTGGCGACGGGTTTTGAAAGTCTACGTCGTCGATTGCGCCATTGAAGAGAACTGGAAAATGTGCCGTGACTACAGGGTTCTTAACACGCCTGAGCTCCGCTATTTTCCCTCCGAATTCCGTTCCGAACGAGATGGTGTGGGAACCACAATACCTAATTCCGACTTTGAGGATGTTAAAATGACTGTGGCACATCATCTGTACCAACTAAAGAACCACGCTGTCGGTCAGCCAAACTTCAAACGGTTAGATTGGAACGACAATATAACAACTATATTCAAAGGCATCTCGTCGACTTATATTGCTCTGATCTTCCAAACCACGCGACTATCTCGTTTTCGTTTGGAAACTCCTACGATTGGCTGGGATACTCTACTCGAATTGCTTCCGTTCAAAGAAGTGGCAGTGCGCATTTTAAATGATCGTAAGATATTCATAAATTTTGGATTGACCGAACACCCCGATAAACTGGTACTCATCGATAAGGCGGGAAAAATCATACAACTGTCAACCAAAAACGAGACAAGTGAAGGTTATGTGGATGCCATTGAGCAGTTCCTCAGATCTCGTAATTATCAGCCACAGCCTTCGTTGGCAAACACCTTACCCCTAAATATTGAAGGGGAGCTGCGGGAAATAACCTTGGAAACACTTAGTTTTGGACCAACTAGGATTTATCAAGCTGATTTGGAGCGTGCAATCGACAATATTATTAATGTAGAGCTGCCTAAAGTAGCAGTCATAGATGGAAAAAGACTAATTGTACTGCGCAACATTTTAACGCTTTTGAACTACCTAAACCCATTGAACAAAAACGGAAAGTTGTGGCTGAAAAATCTGTATAATACATTAATATTTTCAAGGAAAAATGATACAGAAATAAATGGAAACGAATTACTGGACTTTCTGAAAAGTTCAGTAAAATATAAGTTTGACGGAAGTCGCTATGTTGGCTGCATATCCATAAAAGACAACTCGCGTGACTTCAACTGCTCCCTTTGGACCTTATTCCACTTCATGACCGTAAAAGCTGCCAAATCTCCGAATCTCTTCAAACCAGGTGATATACTGTGGGCATTTCACGGATACGCCAACTACTTTTTAGGCTGTAAGCAATGCTATGTGAACTTCTGGGAGTTTTCAATGGTTAGAAGCATTGATGCGGTGAAGACCCATGACGACGAGATCCTCTGGCTGTGGGAAGCCCACAATGATATCAATCGACGATTGGCCTTCCGTCCCAACGAAGATCCCAGATTTCCAAAAGTTCAGTTTCCGCTTAAAAAAGATTGTCTGCTGTGTCGTGACGGGAACTCAAAATGGCAGAAAGATGAAGTGCTAAAATATCTGAAAAGAATTTTCAGTTCGGAGAATCTTAGCTGGTTCGGAATGTCAACCTCAAAGGCATACATATAAACTTTTATTAGAAACCAACACCAAAAAATTGTTTTTTTATTAGGGAGATTCAAAATTGATAAGAGGTACCAATGTTTTTCGCTCTAAAAAAATAACGCCACTCTTTGGCATTTACCTGATCAATTTAAATGTGATGATTCACAAGAACGACTGTTCAAAATTGCTAAAACTTTGTTTCTTTTCAAGTTCCTTTTAATTGCATGTCAATAAAGGGATCTAATATCTGAAATGCGGGATTCACTGGTCCGAATATAGCTGAGGTTACTGGAAATAAGTGTTTTCCTTAAATTCAAGAAAACCGATAAAAAGCTATCCCTAAATATGTTATTAAAGATTAGTTTCTTTTGAACTGTATTTAATGAACTGTGCATAATAAATGCAAATGAAAAAGAGTAGTTAATAACATATTATATGGCACGATAACAATTTAATCTTCTGAGACAAGTGAATAAAATAAAAAAAAAACTTAAATTGATCAGATCCGTTGATAAAATTAAATTTTCTGCTTGCTAATTCAACTGTTATGGACATTAGCTTTTAAGAGAGTAATTATTTCATGAATTGAAAGGGTTAGTTTAATAAAAACCTGGTCTGGGGAAAATGGTGTTAGTGCTATTCTTTGCAATTACGATTCTCCTTCAGGAAAATGGGGCTTCTCAGGCCGATGGCGCACGAATGGTTCGAGTGATGCAAAAAGGAAGGTTTTCTTGGATAAACACAACCTTGGACGATCTTTTGAGCCACAATCCAATCTCAACCGCTGTGTATTTTAGCCAAGCAAAGTTGCGGGACAAATGGGATGGCGTTGAGTTGGTCTCCGACGTGCTCGCTCCCCTTACCGAATTCCCCCGCCTCCTGGACATTGTCCTGATCAATTGCAATCGGCCGATCAATAGGAACGACTGTGCAAGCTACGACTTCAAGGAACCAGGACTCCGCTTTTTCCACAGCGAGTTCCAGCGCAAGGGGCTTGAAATTCATTCAGAATCTCCCTATGAAGTGCGGAATTCGGTTATGAATGCCTTGATGCCGATTAAACTGAAGAAGCCCGGCTCCCCAAACTTCGAGCCCATTCGGGGCACGGATACCATTGCATCGCTCTTTAGGGAGGCGGCTTGCCGATGCATCAACACCATTGTCCTGGCGGATCAGTCCGAGGAAGGATCTACGGTGGGCCGTGATACTGTTTTTGCCCTTCTCAAAAGGGAATCTATCATGGTGCGCATTGTGAAAAACGCCTCGTTCTTCGAGAATTTCGGTCTAAAGTTCTTGAGAAGGGATAACAAACTGGCAATTATACTAAGGTCGCGCAAGGTCATTCCATTGCATCCGAAAAGAGCAAATGGAAAATTATATGCACAGGAAGTTATTAAATTTTTGGATGAATGGTATTAAATTTGTAATCATTCGCGATTAATGGGGTTGAAGTTTTCAATTTCGTAATTTATAATATTTTCAATTGATTTGAATAAGGTAGATATTTATAAGACATTTCTGAGGAAGTTAAGATTATTTCAAATCAAAGCGTTTCAAATGTAAAACCACTTAAATTTAGACCCTCTCCATTGTTATGTTGTGAGTACAGAAATGCCTGTTTGGCCCCCGATAGTGACAAGAAAATTGCATAAATTTGCTAAATTAAGCGTTTAGATTAAATGAAGCGACAATGTGTGTGTTCGCCCACCACAA